ATCCAAGTCTGCAGCCCTGGATGGCTGGGAAACATGGGCGACTAGAACTGCTAAGTGGTGGTTTCCACACCAGGGCCAGCCGCCAGCAGAAGTCCTGCCTTGCCTCAGATCTGTCCTCAGTTGAGACCCCTGTGGATGCCTGTACTGTAAGGCTCCCCTTTAACGGACTTTTCCTTCGTTTCCTGCCATGGAAGGGGTCTCTCAGAGGTTCTGCAACTGGGTATACATGCAGAGGCTCCAGAAGAACCTTGTTATTCATCTGGACACATGTCTAGTTTCTACTGCAAGGTTTTATTCATGGACTTTATTGCACCACAAGTCAGTTGGCTTTCACTTTCTCGAGGTCATGGTGTAGAAGCAGAAATCAATCCTCTGAGGAAGGTCCACCTTGGGGATATCCCGGGCTCTTTTTTTTTTTTTTAAGTTGGAGTCTCACACCGTTGCTCAGGCTGGAGTACAATGGCACGCTCACGGCCACCCCAACATTGACCTGCTGGGCTCTGGTGATCCTTCTGCCTCGGCCTTCCAAGTAGCCAGAACTACAGGTGCGTGCTACCACGCCCAGCTAATTTTTGACTTATTATAGAGATGAGGTCCCACCAAATTACCCAGGCTGGTCTCGAACCTGCGTGCTCAGGCAATCCACTTATCTCGGCCTCCCAAAGTGCTGGGATGACATGCTGAGCCACCGAGCCCAGCCTATCCTGGACTCTTAAGGATAATGCGCCCTGAACACTCAAAGAGTAGATATGTGGTGTGACTCTTACTAAATGATGTGGTTCTTCTGTTGTTCTTGAATTCGAGTGTGAAATGATTAATCACTCTCACCATTGTGGCTATCTCTTGCTTTCTAATTTAATTCTGAAGCTCTTATTTCCTAGAAAAATGTTAATTGCTCTCTCCTTCCCTCCCTCTCTCCCTTCTAAATGCATGGCTTCCAAAGAAGGCTGGGGGCTGGAGTCTGATGCATCTCTTTCTGATGAAACTTTAATTCACTTAGTCAATCACATAAGGCCACCACCACCCCAGCTTCTTGCAATTCTTCCAGAAATACTGTATTCACGGACAAGCTGAGGTGTGTTATCCATATCCTTTCCCATCATGACTTTTCATTAAATTAAATGGTAGCAGACTCTACCTGATCTTTTTGTTCAACTATGTATATCTCAAGGATGTTTCCATATTCATGTAAATAATTTCCATGTTGCTGTTTTTTAAATGGTCAGAGCAGTGGTTGGCTGCACAGAATTGCTACAATTCATTTAACTAGTCCCATATTGGTGGACATTTTGGTTTTTTCTGATGTTTTGCTATTGTAAACAATACTGCAACGAATATGGTCCTAACATTTTACACTTCATAGTAAGTACAGTTGGAAGGCAAATTCTTAAAAGCAGAAAGGTAAAAGCACTTGTAACTTTGACATTTTCTATGCTGCTTTCCCTATACATTTTCTCAAATTACACTGTCATCAATAAAAGACAGCATGCCCTTCACTCTGCTAAAATAATGATTTCAAATTTATTGAATTACTGCATTGTAGGTGATAAATATTTCACTGTTGTTAATGTGCATTTGTGTTAGGAGTAAGGTGGCATATCCTTTAGTGTGTCTGAATTTTTTTTTTGAGTTGGAGTCTCACTCCTTTGCCCAGGCTGGAGTGCAGTGGCACACTCATGGACACCCCAGTGTCGACCTGCTGGGCTCTGACGATCCTACCACCTCAGCCCTCCAAGTAGCCAAAACTACAGACTCACACTACCATGCCCGGCTAAATTTTTAATTTATTGTAGAGACAAGGGCTCACCAAGTTGCCCAGGCTGGTCTCGAACCCGCTGGCTCAGGCAATCCGCTCGCCTTGGCCTCCCAAAGTGTTGGGATGACAGGCTGAGCCACTGATCCTGGCCCTGAATTTCTTTTTGGATGAACGGTCAGTTTCCACTGGTCCCGTCAGTGCGGTTGTGCTAAGAGAAAAGATCACAGCAGCTTCAACTCATGGGTTTCCTCTCACATGAGCCATGTCTGGAGCTGTGATTCTGGCTGGCACGAAGAATTCATGTGGGTCAGGGTCTTGGCCCCTCCTTCCCCCACCACATCAGTACATATCCTCCGACTCAAAGGCCACCTATGGCTCATATTGCAGGATATTTTTATATTTTCTGTACGTTATACTACCACATTGTCTTAAAAAACAAAAAACACTTTGGGAGGCTGAGGCGAGAGGATTGCCTGAGCCCAGGGGTTCGAGAGCAGCCTGGGCAACTTGGCAAGACCTCGTCTCTACAATCAATCAAAAAATGAGCTGGGCGTGGTAGCACGCGCCGATAGTTCCAGCCACTTGGAAGGCTGAGGTGGAAGGATCGCTGGAGCCCAGCAGGACGCTGGGGTGGCTGTGAGTGCGAGACTCCAACTCAAAAAAACAAACACACACACACACACACACACACACACGAAAATAACTTTCTGTCCAGCGAGAGACTGTTCCTTCAGAAGCCAGCTGGTTCTTTGGGACAATGAGGGGCCCAGCTGGGGAGCAGCCCTTAATTTTGGTTGTCTCCTAGGGTAGGCCCACCCAGAGCCAGGCCTCCTCCAGGGCCCTACCCTAGGAGACAACGTTCCTCTACCTTAACCATCCCAAAGCCAGGACTGGAGACCTAGAGACCCCCGCTAGAGCCCAAAGCCTGCGGAATTAGTCACACCAGCCAATCCTAAACTGCCCCCCAATCCTGCTTTGCCTTTCCTCAGAAACCGTTCTAAAGGCCTAGCCTGAACTTTGCCTGGACTCCCGCCGGCTGTGTCTGGGTTGCCCTGGGCTCTTTCCCTGTGGCCTTGCATGGGGTGTTGTGCCTCCTGTCTCTGGGACCTGTGATCAGCCTTGTTTTCCCGGAGCTTCTCTGGCATTGACCTTGGGGCCAACCTTGTATGGCTATACTTGACTGACCATCTCACAAAAGAATACAAAACATGGCTCAAGATAGCTGCGGGAGCACCAGCCATCCCTGTCTGCACCATAGATGTGTGCCTCCCCCTTTTAAGAAGCCTTACCAGAAGTTCCCCTGAACACTTAGCTTGTATCTAGCAAAAACCTATTCACAACATACTGCTTCTAACCTTAAGGGAGACTGGAATATGAAATTTGTAACTGAGCACATTGCCCAAATATCAGTTAATAAGAGCACGATTACATTATTGGGAGACTACTGGCAATTTCTGTCGCAAATCCTTGATCAATTTTACTTTTGGGCTTTTGTTCTTATTTGAAGACCTTTTTACATGTAAGGGAACTTTTCTCTTTGCCTGCCTCAGGAAGTACAGATAACTTTTTTCTGTTATTCTTTGGACTTTGATTATGGTGTTCAATGTTTTCTTTTTTACATAGCTTCTGGATTTTGAGTCATATTTAGGAAGACCTCCTCATGCCGAAATCTCTCAGAGTTTCCACTAGCTCCGCTAGTACTTTTCACAAGGATTCAGGCCTTGAAAGATTCAACTACAAGGTCAAAGACCTCTTGAAACTAAGCTTCTCATCTAGGGTTATAAGTACTGGGGCTGGCAGCCAGCTCACTGATGGGAGGCAGTGATAACTCCGTTATCTTTGGACACGTATACCGTTACAGTAGTCCGACTTTTTAATAACAGCATGGAACGGTGGCCCCAAGGTCAATGCCAACCGCAGGTCCCCTTGCATGGCTATAGCATCTGGATCATTGCGGTACGAGAAGAATCTGCACTGAGTCGGATCTAGGAGCTGTTCCTGAAATGGAACTCTAAATAGCCAAGTCAGAAAGTTACTAGTAGAAAATACACACACACACACACACACACACACACACACACACAAAGAAGTGCTCATTTGTAAACCTAGGGGTAGAGCACAGTCCCCAGCACAGCCCCGGCAGCCCAGAACCAGGAATTACAGGGGTGCTCCCCTTTTCTATGCCTGGACACGGGCTCCTCTCTTAGAGATAGCCCCTTCTTTATTTTGGTGGGCTGGCAAATTCTTTTCCTTGGAAAGAAGTAACTTCAATAGGGTTCTACATGGATAAAGACAAAATTGGGTCCAAGCACACTGTAAACAATTTCACATGGATATACACAAATTGCTGTTTGACTTAGTCAAGCACTGTCTAAACCCAAATTCTCAAGTCATCGGGGTTGAGGCTCCCCTGGCCTTCTGGAGGTATGACAACATGGCCCTGCTCTCATAGGATCGGAAAGTCAAACGCACAGCGGTTGGAAACTCCTCCTTTATTTGTTCCTTCTACATCCAACGAGACCCAGAAAGGCTGGACATCACACACACACTCCAAGGGAGTGAGGGCAGGTGTCTGAGACAAGAGATGAAATTAATGCCACACGCGAGAGCAGCGCTTTTCCAAACAGTGACACCGTCTCCATGGGGCCTCACCTCACCCAGACAGCACAGCGGGAAGGAGCCAAGCTGTGACTGACTTGCCGGTGAACGCCGAGGTAGGTCACTGATGGCAAAGCCAGACGCAACCTGGAATTCCTGGGTTTTGATTCTGGTAAGCAACCTGACAAAACCAAAATGTCAGCATGACTCACACGGTCCTCTCGTTTCCCAGAAGACTGAAAAATCAGGGGAATCTCCAGAGTCTGCCCTGGTCACGTGGCATGGAGACCCTGGGGTGGCACGGCGGGAGCTGGGTCGGGGGTTCCCTCCACGGCTGAGATGACTTCCTGTGCTCACTGGAAGTCACTCACTATTTCAGTGACCCCGAGAAGGGAGGGGGCAGGAGAGCTTCACCGTACCTTGTGAGATCTCACAGACTCTTGCGATTTTCAGTTTCTCAGAGAACTAAACGAATAACTTTGCTGGAGTAAAGTGTATCACAATCCCCAAACCGACCCTTGCAGACATCTTCTGTTGGAGGCATATGCAAATAAACGAAGTAAAAAATGAGGTCGAAGCTGTTCCAGTTTTATAAACAACCCCAAATCTGAAAGACTGACACAAGGACACGCAAAGGCTGAACATCAATGTTTAATTCTGAAATCTTTTATTCAGTCTTCAAGTTACTGACAGGAAGAGGAATGAGAAATTGCAACTTCATCATTGCCATATCACGGTGTAACAAGCCCTTGTTACAAAATCTCCATCTACTGCCTCCAAAAAAACAACAGAAAACCCATACATTATATTACCTAGTGATCTATTAACAGATGAAATTGTAGCCAACTTTATACCAGGAAACTACTAACAGAAGTACTTCGATCACATTGCTTAAAATGTGGAGCTTAAAGACAGATAAAAAAATTATCTTAACCTGTAGTAGTCTTTTTACTTTTTAAAATTTTTATAAAATACACTAATTTCCCAAAATAAAGAATATTATGACACATTGGTGTCAACTTACACAGATGAAAGCTGATGCCAGCTTTTTTTTCCAACTAAAGTTCATTTCACCAAGTCTTTATATATTACATGAATATCCAAGTATTTTTTTTAAAAATTCAACACATAGAACATAATATACAGTATTTTATTTTTTAAAAAAGGTTAATTTAGGAATGATTTCATTTGTAACCACATCATATATCTTTTTAAGACCATGAGACCCATCTCTCGCCATTGCAAGACTTTTTGGTTCATGTTTCTATTTCTCAGTTTAAAAAAAAAAAGAAGAAAGGTTTATTTCTGTCTTTCCCACGAGAGCGCGGTGGTCCCGGTCTCATTCCCCAGGAGACTGCATTCCCGCCTGGTGTCTTCAGGCCCATCCGACCCATGACCACAGAGCACTGTCGTGACATCGAAGAGTGGACCTCAAAAGAGGGGCTCCGCTGGCCCTGCCACGACGGTAAGGTGTGGGCTCGCTCCCCTCAGCCCTGCAGAGCTGCAACCGGGCAGTCCTGGGGATGCCTGGACACCTCTGCTCTCCAAGTGACCCAGCAGGGGCTGCGGGCGCCGTGGCAGCGGAGCGAGCACCCTCACACTGTGACAGCAGTGGCTCTGGGAGAGGCAGAGAATGCTTGTGCCCACCTTCCTGCAGGGCTGGTGCTGCCGCACACCCAGGAAACACAGCGACACGCACCACGCGATCTCCAGCTCCATGGGATTCCAGGGACACGCGGGACAGGGGCAGAACACAAGACCCACGTGAGCCTCACAGTGCTCCTCAAAGCCCTGCCCCACCAGGGTCTGACTGTCCCGGCACGCGGGCCACTGGGGGATGGAACGGCCCGTCACAGCCACCTCGACGGCTAGCGCAGCTTCAGCTGTCTCTGTTCCCCACGAGCAAGCTGAGCTGCTTCTGCCGTAAACTAAACACTGCTCTGAACACTCTCCTCACGGGTTGTGCTTTATTCTTCCCTGTCACGCCACAACTTCATTCTAGGAAAGCTGAACCCCACAGCATCACACTGAGGACGGGGCCTCCAGGGCGACTCCCGACCACACCAGAGAGACGGTGCCGGCCTCTCGCCTCCGTCTCTGCCTCGGTCCCTCAGTCACCCCGGGTCCTGTCGAGACTGACTCAGGTGCACGTGCAGTTTCCCGGAGGAGAGGACCCAACCAGAGACCTGGCATTTCTGCCTTAAAGAAGCAAAACAGAGCTCCTGGACACCACAGGGCAGAGGGAGGGATGCATTCTACGTCGAAAAGACTCTCTTGCTCTCAACAGGAGTCGGCCCAGCTTCTCCTTAGCTACCATTTCATAAATTAATAATTTCTTAGAATCATAATCCAAAGAATTTTTCTACTGTAAGAAAAGTTCAAGTCTAAAAAAGCAAATAAATTAGTTAAGCCTTGTAAACAACTGTCCGTTTTAGTTAGATCTCTTTAAAAAGAAAAAAGGTTTCTCTGTATGGTAGTCAGACAGTACAAGGCACACCTCTCACTCCTGAGTGGAGGGCGGGTGCCTCCTCCACGTTGCCGTGACATGCCACGTGGGCTTCGGGGCCACACGCCATCTGCCGTCTCCTGGCCACGGAAGTCCACAGATGGGCCCTCTGGCTAGCCTGCCTGTGCTCTGTGCTGAGGTGTGATGTCACGCCTTCCGGTCAGTCTCCTCAGATGTTCTCCACGAAGCTCCCTGGGAAGAGGCCAGTCTTCCCGTTGCGCTGCAACGTGCCTTTGAACCAGCCGTCCTCGCGCTTCTTGTGAACAAACACGATGTCCCCTTCCTTGAGTTCGAGCTCTGCCTCGCTCTGGGGAGGATAGGAAACCACCACCCTGTGCCTGCACAAGAGAGAGATTCACTTAAGGCCTTCAAGGCGGGGATGGGGGCAGCACTCTGTCAGCCCACAAGTCTTCAGTGTCAACAGAACAGGGAGCAGGGCGAGTCTGTGGGTAACTGTCTGTGAAACAACACACAGCACAGCTATTTTCCGTTTAGCAGAGATGGTAGCGACAAACGGTTTAGATAAGCACGTCCACCCACGACCAAAGGCCCAGCCTGGCTCATCTGAGTGACCGTCATAGGAGAGCAAGCCATCCTTGCCCCCCAGTGTTCACCTCCTGGCCACAAAGAAGGAGGAAACCGTTTCTCACTCCATTTTCTTTTCTGTCCCCTGCCTTCCCCAAGAAAGAAGTGGATTTATCGGGTTGCTGAAACTGGGAGAAGCAGCTGAGCAGTGGGTCCCGCCCCCTCTGAACCATCTGCTACAGGCTCTGCCTTTATGCTGGGGTCAGGGGTCAGGGGTCGGGGGTTGGCCTGCCTCCTGGAGGGGAGTCTGGCAGTCTGTCTCTGTGTCCCTTACATGGAGGGTCTCACGTGGGTGAGGAAGTTCCTCTGCCTTCCACACCCAAGTCCTCCCTTGGGAAGGTGGTCCCAAGGTCCAGATGTGGCGGGGAGGACCATGGCCCGAAGGTCCGTCCCCTCTCATTTCCGCCTGCCTGACATCTTTGTGTCTCCTTGGCTCTCAACTCAGACAGCAGTGGGGACAGGTGTGGTTGTCACCTAAAAGCTGCAGAAGCCTTGATGGCCAACATGCCCCAACTCTGCGCCTCCATGCTGCCTGGTCTCCCCACGAGAACCGGGGTGTGCAGCAGGAAGCCAGAGGGCAGTGACCGTTTCATGCCACTTTCTTTTTACCCTCCCCTATGTTTCCAGTGTGATTTCTCTCCCCTACTCCTCTCGTGCTTTTTCCAGTCAAAGGCGGAAACGATGGTAGCCACCTCCTAGATGGCCCTGCAGCCTTGCCTCCTGGTGTACCCACTCTTGTGGAATCTCCTCCCACCACGCACAGGGATGACCTGCATGACCAACAAAACGCTACGACACGATGTTGGTGATTTCTGAAGCCAAACTGTGAAAGGCGCATGGCTCCCACCATACTCGGGTCACTCCCTCTAGAAACCCAGTGGCCACGCTGTGAGGACACGCTCATCCCCATGAAGAGGACCGTGGGGTAAGGAACTGAGGCCTCGTCCTGAACGCCCAGAAGGGCCAGCCAACAGGGAGCGGAAAAGTCACCACCCAACTGCGGCGGGTTCTCCAGCCCACCACGCATCGGAAGGACCAGAAAGATGCTCTGCCACCCCTCAGCCGTGGAGACTGTGAGATCACGTGTGCTCGTTATCGCTTCAAGCCCTAAGTCCGGGGGTCACTGGTCACACAGCAACAGATAGCTAAAAGATGACTATGTTTCTCTGAGTTGGAGTCTCACTGTCACCCGCAGCCTTGACCTGCTGGGTTCAGGTGATCCTTCTGCCTCAGCCTTCCAAGCAGCCGGAACTACAGGCGAGCACTACCACGCCTGGCTAATTTTTGATTTATTGTAGAGACGACTCTTCACCATGTTGCCCAGACTGGTCTTGAACCCATGAGCTCAGGCAATCCTCTCGCGTTGGCCTCCCTAAGTGCTGGGATTATAGGCTTGAGCCACCACGCCCAGCCAACTAATAGATGTTAATACCTTTCTCTGTTTGATGCTACAGTGGGTATTCAGTCACAAAGGTCACTTGGGGTTTTTACTTTCACTTGGTTCTCAAAGTCAGAAAATAGGTTTACAGTCTCCAGGGATGCCCTCTTGACCGAAAGTGAAAAATATTAGGCTTAAAAGTGACATCCAGAGCAGACTGCACATCTGGCCCCAAGCTTCTGAAGCCATCAGAGTTTGGTCCTTCCATCAAATCTCCATTCCATAAAAGACAGACTCTGCGTCTTCTCAGAAAGACCACAGCCCGAGTCCCAGACCACGATACCATAAAAACACATCTCAGCCGGGCTCGGTGGCTCAGCCTGTAATCCCGCACCTTTGGGAGGCTGAGGGGAGTGGATCGCATGAGCCCGCGGGTTTGAGACCCGCCTGGGCAACTTGGCGAGACCTCATCTCTGCAATAAATCAAAAAATGAGCTGGGCGTGGTAGCGCGCGCCTGTAGTTCCAGCTACTCAGAAGGCTGAGGCGGAAGGATTGCCAGAGCCCGGCAGGTCGAGGCTGCGGTGGCCGGGAGCGGCCGCTGCACTCCAGTCTGGGCGACAGAGTGAGACTCCGACTCAAAAGAAAAAAACAAACACATCTCCACAAAGGCTCGTGCTGCCCACCAGTCCCTCGTTCCTTGGGCACAAGGCCAGATTAGCCTCAAGCAAAAACACGGCACGGAAGATGCTTGCCACTTCCACGGAGGGTTCCGCTAACTCCGATGTGGACATTCGTCGACCATACACAAGGCCGGGGACTCCACCAAGCACAGAAGGAGGGAGGAGGCAGGGCGCCGGGGGAGAAGACCTGGCCTGGGTTGACACAGCCTGTAGGTCAGCGAGAACAGCTTAGCCTTGGGCCGTGAGCCCTCTCGGCCTCAGTGTTCTCATCTACAGGCTCGGACAGAAAGAAGTCACACGAGCAGTGTCGTAAGACCGTAAGTGGAAGGCTCTTGGGGTTGCAAGTGCAACCCCAAATGTCAGCTCCCGTCAGGACCACATGGCTTAGGCGAGAGGAGGCAGGGCTGGGCACTTTCAGGAGGAGAAGATGGGCTGGCAGTGGCTGGACACCTCCAACCAGGAAATGGACTCAGGTCACAGCCAAAGAATGTCCTGATCATGGGACCTGGCAAACTGTAGAATGACAGTTAAGTTTGTGGAATCCCTTCTCTGACATCTTTAGACACAAAGCAAATAAGTTCATCGTGGATTTATCCAGAGGATGAACCCCAGACGAGAGTCTTCGAGTCTAACGTCAACGTGCTAAAACTCCACGTAAAAAGCAATGATGTAGCTGCCACTTGGGGCAAGTTAAAAATTTAAGCAAAGCTTTACAATGCTGGAAATAAAAAATGTGTGTGCAAGCAACTCAAAACATATTTAGAGTAGCTCTCTCACGCGATGCATTCTCTGAGAGCTGCCTTGAAGGGGAAATGGAATAAAAATATGTCTTGAAAAAAATTGAAGTGAATTAGATTAATATATGCATTTTATAAAATGCACTAAACCAATTTTGTCAAAAAAATTTTTTGAACTGCTGCTGCTAAGCTAAGAACATAATCTCCCTGCCAAGTTCCCAGTGGGAACAAATTTTCATGGCTGAATTTTATAAACCTCTGGGGGGTGGAAGGAGAAACCATGTGCATAATGGAAACTGTGACACAGGCTTGGTCGCATGAAGACTCCCAGGTGCAGCCGTAGCAGACACCATGAGACCCCACCCAGCTCCAAGCCTAGGCTCAAGCCTTGGGCAATGCCAGCCCAGGGATTTCTCACATGGACTTGGAGGGTTGAGCTGGGCACACTGGCCAACACTTCAGGTCCGGAAGGGGCTTGGCCGAGCGGGCACTTGCAGCCCAGCAGGCAGACAGGCACACAGCTGTAGAGGCGGCACGTCGTGTCCCCTTCACTTGATTCGCTGTCTCCACCCCAGCAGGGCCTTGGAGCAGCTCTGGACTCAACGCACTACTTTTTCTTTGCAATTTCCTAATTATATTTTCTCAATCCTTCTAAAACAGAGTCTAAGATGTATGTTCTATTATTTCTGCCGTCATCAATTCTACATTTTCTGCCTCCAGGATACAGCGCTATCTCTTGCTTGTTTTCTTCCATCTCTCTAACAAGCACAAAAGAATCTGTCTGTTCCTCAGAGAATTCTCTCGGCTCACATCAAGACCTGTCAACACATGTCAGGGTGCCTCCCCCTTATTATGAAACACTACGGTCTTGTATCATGTGACGGCACTGGCTGCCCTCGCTACAGTCTCTTACTTTCCATGTATGGGGCAGGATCGCGTCACTCCCAGGACACTCTGTAGATGAACTCTATCTACGGTCCCAAGAAGAACATGCCGAAAAAATATTTCTATGAATTTCTATCAGCACAAGTCCTGTCACAAGAACCCTGGACTTCTGCATTTTGCCAAGACAAGAGTTGTCGATGTTATGTCGTGAACCAAAGAATCCTAAGTTCCTGATACACCCCTGAATCACACTGACATGAAAGTTCATCTTGGCTGGGCTCGGTGGCTCAGCCTGTAATCCCAGAGCATTGGGAGGCTGAGGTGAGTGGATTGCCTGAGTCCGTGGGTTTGAGACCGGCCTGGGCAACTTGGTGAGACCTCATCTCTACAATAAATCAAAAAA